TCAACTTATAAACATGCTCTTGAAATGAAACTTGTCCACATGCAGGGAACTTATTGTACTTTATCACACCATACACCAAATAAACTCAAAATGGACTGAAGATTTAAATGAAATACCTGAAACCATAAAACTCCCAGAAGAAAATATAGACAGTACACTCTGCGACATTAGTCTTCAAAATTTTTTGGATCTATCTCTTTACATAAGAGAAATAAAAGCAAAAACAGAAATGGGAATGGGAAATGAAAAAAAAAAAATAGAAATTGGAGTGCATCAAGCTAAAAAGATTTTGCAGAGCAAAGGAAACAATCAACAAAACAAAGAGCCTACTTAATGGGAAAAGATAGTTGCAAATAATGTCTAATGAGGGGCTGATATCCAAAACATACAAAAACTCATAAAAACATCAAGAAACTTAATAACCTTATTAAAAATGAGCAAAAGGTTGGAATAGATATTTTTCTAGAGAAGACATACAGATGGCCAAGGCACACATGAAAAGATATTCAGAGTCACCAGTTATCAGGGAAATGCAAGTCAAAGCAACAATGATATATCCCCATTAGAATGGATATCATCAAAAAGACAAAATATAGTGTTGGTGAAGGTGCGGATAAAAGGGAATAGTGTGTGCACTATTGGTGGAAATCAAAATTGGTACAGTTAATATGGATGACAGTACGGAGATTCCTCAAAAAATTAAAAACAGAACTACCATAAAATTCAGTGATTCCACTGTTGGGTAGTTTTTCAAAGAAAACAAAAACACTAATTATAAAAGATATATGTACTCCTATGTTCATTGTAGCATTATTAAAAATAGCCGAGATATATAAGCATTCTACATGCCCATCAATAGATGAAAGGATATAGAAAATGTGGTGTATATATATACATATATAAATATGTAATATTGTGGTATTTATATATATACAAATGGAGTATCACTTTGCCATAAAAAAGAATGAGATATCCCATTTCTGAGAACAAGAATGGGTCAAAAGGGTATTATGCTAATCAAAATAAATGAGATAAAGAAATATAAATACTATATGATTTCACTTATATAGCAAATCTAAAAAAAGAAAACAAATGAACAAATATAGCCAAACAGAAACAGACTCACATATACAGAGAATGAGTAGGTGTCAGAAGGGAAGCATGTTGGTGGATGAGTGAAATAGATGAAGGATATTTAAAGGTACAAACCTCCAGTTATAAAATAAATAAGCCTTGGGATATACATAGTTAATATAGCCAATACAGCATAGTTAATATAGTCAATAATATAATAACTTTGTGTTGTGACGGGTGGTATCTAGATTTATGATGGCAATCACTTTATAACGTATCAAAACATCAAATTACTATGTTGTACATCTGAAACTAACAGAAATAGTTAATATACAGCATAGTTACAGCATAGTTAATATAGTCAGCATATTTACAGCATAGTTAATATAGTCAATAATATAATACCTGTGTTGTGACAGGTGGTAACTAGATTTATGATGGCGATCATTTTATAATGTATCAAACATCAAATTACTATGTTGTACATCTGAAACTAACAGAAAATGTTAAGTAAATTATATTTCAATAGAAAAATTCTTAGCAACAAAGTACAAAGAAAATCAAATTTGATCAGAATATTAAGGAACCTGTTAACATGAATAACAAAAGCTATACTAGAAATATTAATGTATAAAAAATTCAAGATCCCTATAATAAACTAACAAATTTTTCCATCATCTCCTTAACTTGTGAAGATTACTTCCTCAAATGAAAAATGAATAACATGAGGAAGTTTACAAACCATTTTTCAGTATGATCCATTCGGAATGGAAAAGAGTTGCCGTTTTGTGCTACAGACAAACATGTAGATAAAAACAGTGATCTAGTCTTTACAATTAAATTTTAATAGCTTGTATTGATAAATAATTTAATCAAAATTTCTGGCTTCTTCCCTTGAGTTCTTTCCTGTCTCAGTAAATGGCAACATCATCCATTTGTTGCTCAAAATCCTTGACTCCCATTCATCACTCTTTAATTCTCTTCCAAAGCAAACTGTCTGCAAGTATTGTTGGCTCTACCTCTAAAACATACACGAATATACTCCTTTTTATCTCTCATGTGCTAAGTCGCTCAGTCATGTCTGACTCTTTGTGGTGCCATGGACTGTAGCCCACCAGGCTCCTCTGCCCATGAGGATTCTCCAGGCAAGAATATGAAGTGGGTTGCCATGCCCTCCTCCATATGATCTTCCCATCCTAGGGATCGAACCCAGGTCTCCCACATTGCAGGTGGATTCTTTACCGATTGAGCCACAGGGAAGCCTAAAAATGTTTTGGCTGCACCTCACAGCATGTGAGATCTTAGTTCCCCAACCAGGGATTAAACCTGTGCCTCCTGCAGTGGAAGCGTGGAATCTTAACCACTGTCCTTAATTTAGGCAACTTAGCTTAGACTTCTACAGTAGCCTTCCAACTGGTCCTCCTGTTTACACTCTGTTCTTCTAACTACATCTAACCCCACAGTTCATCTAACACATTGCAGTCAGAGCTATCTTTTTTGATACAAGTCTGTGCATATCACTTCTCTCCTAGATGAATCTAAAATACTTACAAGCATCCCTACATTACCTGGCCCCTACTTAATTCTCCAATTGCATCTTAATTGACTCATCTGTTTCATCACATTATCCTGCTTTCTGTTTCTAGAACATCTAAGCTATTACCACTTATGGTCTGTCTACTTACTATTCCTTCTAGTTGGAATGCCCTGTTTCAGATTTTTCTGTATTATTTCCTGATCATCAAATCTCAAGTCAACTGGCAATCCCCTGCCAACCCCAGACCCAGAGGCTTTCCTTGACCATCTCATCTAAATTAATCCCCAGTCAATTTCTATCACATCATTCTGTTTAACTTTCTTCCTATTGCTTACTACTATCTTAAATTGCCTTCTCTACTTCTAAGTTACCTACTTATTCTCTGTCTTCTCCCTCAAATATAAGCTCCTAAGCACAGAAAATTTAGCAGTCTTATTCACCATTTAGCTTAGCAGTCTTATTCACTGTTTTCTAGGCACCCAGAGACTAGAAAACTGCTTGGTGCACAGTAGGTGCTCACTAAATATTTATTATAAGAGTAAATACACTTCATGACAACAGAAAAGCAGCAGCTCAAAACATAAATAATTAAAAGATTAAGAAAAAAGAGGTACCATATGAGTTTATATCATGTGATTTCATATTACACATACTAACAATATCAGGGAATGTATTACATATCAGAGATCTCAAATATTAATGAAAAACACATTACTAAGTATGCTTAAATTTATTTTTAATGTAAAAACTTTCAGAATTAGGAATTTTACATGAATCTACATATGAATGCGGAAGGGAAACTACATGTGTCTTTGTGCTTTGGCAAAAGTGGAATGGTCTCTTTAGCTCTGAATCAGAAGCATTTAAAGGAAAATGCTAGGGGAAATGGTCAATTTAAAAAGTGAATATCAATTTTTAAGGCAGGGAAAATCTATTGAAAACTAAGAGAAAGGAGAAGGAAACAGCAACCCACTCCAGTATTCTATTCTTGCTTGGGAAATCCCATGGATATAGGAGCCGGGCGGGCTATAGTTCATGGGGTCAAAAAGAGCAGCTGAGTAGCTTTCACTTCACTTCCATATATACATAACTTTAATATCATACCCATTGAGCAAAATAAGTTTCATAAAGGTGTTTCAGATGTTATTTAAACTAAATTAGACCTTTGTATCCAGAACAACAACAATGTTCAAAATTTCACAGGTGTTTTATTATTGTGTCAGTCCAATATTAAACATTTAAAATGCCTGTTCATAAGACTTGTTTTTGATAAGTTTATCTTTAGTGTATTATTTTCCAGATAAATACAATAAATAAACATCTTGTTTTCTTAAATAAATAAATAAAACTAAGAGAAACAACAGTAATTGAACTCATTGGAAAAGACCCTGATGCTGGGAAAGATTGATGGCAGGAGGAGAAGGCAATGACTAAGGATGAGACGGTTGGATGACATCACCAATTCAATGGATGAGTTTGAGCAAACTCTAGGAGACAGTTAAGGACAGGAAGCATAGCAAGCTGCAGTCACAAAAAGCTGGACACAACTTACTGACTGAACAAAGGCTAACAAATCATTATATAACTAAACATGATCTCTAGGGACTGATGGCACTGATTCTACACATTTGGAAAGGGTAAGACCAGAAGCTTCCAAATGCCCAAATACCACCACACCATTGTTCTTACCTTCAAGACCTACTAGGTAGTCACACAGTTAATAAGAATGACTCAAATATGTGCCTCAGGGAAGTTACATACTGCAACACCTCTTGTAATTCTAGGATCTTCACGAAGAGTCAAAGCTGCAGTATCTGTGGATGCCCAGGCCTTCTCACTGTGTTTGGACTCTATCAATGAGGCAACAAACTACCTGAGATATTCATTAAGGATTTAAAATAACTAGGAAACTGTTTACTCCATTGGAGCTATTTACTAAATACCACAGAGCATGAATACAACCACTGAGATTACTGACAGTAGCAAAACAAAAATGGTGTGGGCACTTCATCTTTCTGTTAATTGACTGTCTTTGTTATACAACATTGCCTGCAAAAATCTGACTATAATCCTAACCACAGGCCGCAGTAATCATGTCAATATGTGAACTATCTGAATATCTAATTATAAAAAAAGAAGGCAATTTCACAGTGGAAGTATTGTCCTAATTCAAGAAACCTAGTTATATTAACTTATTAGTCTGACATAGCAGAAAGATGAAAAACTTTAATTCGAAAGATAATTATTTTTAGCTGATTAATATGGTTCAAATTAAATTCACTGCTTTTAATGGGCCTATCAATTTGACAACCTGGGAAATGAATAAATTTTGCATGCAATAATTCTAGGAAATTCATACAGCCAAGCTACACTTCATTACAAGGATTACCTTCACAGTAGGCATTGTCTTCTCGAAGAGCCCTAAAACCGTCTCGACAGCTACAAACAGCTCTGTCATTCAGATTTCTGCAGACAGAATTCTCCATGCAGTTATGCCTTTCAGAGCAAAAGTCATAACCTACAGGAAGAAAGAAATTATTGTGGTAAATGAAATCATAATAAGGCAAAAACATTTTGTCTCTTAATATCTTTCTTTTATTTAGAAGCTATATTTTCTTACATGATTATGCTGATATCATTATCCAGTGTTTATAGAACCACCTGTTATATGTACTAAAAAGTTCTTGTAGTGTATTTAACACAATTAAGAGTTAATTGGAGGAGGTCACCATTAACCCCACCATAGAGCCGCCAGAACTTACACAACACTGGGGAAACAGACTGTTGGAGGGCACAAACAGAACCGTGTGCACAGCAGGACCCAGGAGAAAGGAGCAGTGACCCCAGAAAAGGCTGACCCAGACTTGCGGGTGAGTGTCCAGGAGTCTCCGGCGGAGGCGTGGGATGGCAGTAGCTGGCTGCAGGCCTGGGGCACTGAGTGCAGCAGTGCCTGCACAGGACCCCCTGAAGGAGGTCGCCATTATCCGCATCACCTCCACCATCGTTTGGTCTCAGGTCAAACAACAGCAAGGGAGCAAAGCCCCGCCCATCAACAGAAAATTGAATTAAAGATTTACTGAGCATGGCCCTGCCCGTCAGAACCAAGCCCAGTTTCCCCCTTAGCCTCTCCCATTAGGAAGCTTCCATAACCCTCTTATCCTTATCCATCAGAGGGCATACAGAATGAAAACCACAATCATAGAAAACTAATCGATTTGATCACAAGAACCACAGCCTTGTCTAACTCAATGAAGCTATGAGCCATGCCCTGTAGGGCCACCCAAGACAGACGGGTCATAGTGGAGAGTTCTGACAAAACATGGTCCACTGGAGAGGGAATGGCAAACCACTTCAGTATTCTTGCCTTGAGAACCCCATGAACAGCATGAAAAGGGAAAAAGATAGGACACTGAAAGAGGAAATTCCTGGGTGCCCAATAGGCTACTGGATATCAGTGGAGAAATAACTACAGAAAGAATGAAGAGGTGGAGCCAAAGCAAAAACAACACCCAGTTGTGAATGTGACGGGTGATGGAAGTAAAGTTCCAAGCTGCAAAGAGCAATAATGCATAGGAACCTGGAATGTTAGATCCATGAAATCAAGGCAAACTGGAAGTGGTCAAATAGGAAATGGCAAGAGTAAACATCAACATTTAGGAATCAGAGAACTAAAATGAACTGGAATGGGTGAATTTAACTCAGATGACCATTATATCTACTACTATGGGGAAGAATCCCTTAGAAGAAATGGAGTAGCCATCATAGTCAACAAGAGTCTGAAATGCAGTACCTGGATGCAATCTTAAAAACAGACAGAATGATGTCTGTTCGTTTCCAAGGCAAACCATTCAATATCACAGTAATCCAAGTCCATGCCCCGACCAGTAATGCAGAAGAAGCTGAAGTTGAACGGTTCTAGGAAGACCTACAAGACCTTCTAGAACCAACACCCAAAAAAGATGTCCTTTTCATCACAGGAGACTGGGATGCAAAAGTAGGAAGTCAAGAGATACCTGGAGTAACAACCAAATTTGGCCTTGGAGTACAAACCGAAGCAGGTCAAAGGCTAACAGTTTTGCCAAGAGAACGCACTGGTCGTTAACAAACACCCTCTTCCAACAACACAAGAGAAGACTCTACACATGGACATCGCCAGATGGTCAATACCAAAATCAGATTGATTATATTCTTTGCAGCCAGAGATGGAGAAGCTCTACACAGTCAGCAAAAATAAGACTGGGAGTTGACTGTGACTCAGATCACAAACTCCTTATTGCCAAATTCAGACTTAAATTGAAGAAAGGAGGGAAAGCCACTACACCATTGAGGTATGACCTAAATCAAATCCCTTACTATTATACAATGGAAGTGACAAATAGATTCAATGAATTAGATCTGATAGACAGAGTGTTTGAAGAACTATAGACGGAGGTTCATGAAATTGTACAGGAAGCATTAATCAAGATCATACCCCAAAAAAGAAATGCAAAAAGGCAAAATGGTTGTCTGAGGAGGCCTTAGAAACAGCTGAGAAAAGAAAAGATGTGAAAGGCAAAGGAGAAAAGGAAAGATATACTCATTTGAATGCAAAGTTTCAAGGAATAGCAAGGAGAGATAAGAAAGCCTTCCTCAGTGATCAGTGCAAAGAAACAGAGGAAAGCAATAGAATGGGAAAGACTAGAGATCTCTTCAAGAAAATCAGAGATACCAACAGAACATTTCAAGCAAGATGGGCACAATAAAGGAAGAAATGGTTTGGACCTAAAAGAAGCAGAAGATATTAAGAGGTGGCAAGAATACACAAAAGAACTGTACAAAAAAGATCTTCACAACACAGATAATCACGATGGTGTGATCACTCAGCTAAAGTCAGACATCCTGGAATGTGAAGTCAAGAGGGCCTTAGGAAGCATCACTGCGAACAAAGCTAGTATAAGTGATGGACTTCCAGTTGAGCTATTTCAAATCCTAAAAGATGATGCTATGAAAGTGCTGCACTCAATATGTCAGCAAATTTGGAAAACTCAGCAGTGGCCACAAGACTGGAAAAGGTCCGTTTTCATTCCAATCCCAAAAAAAGGCAATGCCAAAGAATGCTCAAGCTACTGCACGATTGCACTCATCTCACATACTAGTAAAGCAATGCTCAAACTTCTCCAAGCCAGGCTTCAACAGAATGTGAACCGTGAACTTCCAGATGTTCAAGCTGGATTTAGAAAAAGCAGAGGAACCATAGATCAAATTGCCAACATCCGCTGGACCAGAGAAAATGCAACAGAGTTCCAAAAAATCGTCTATTTCTGCTTTATTGACTATGCCAAAGCCTTTGTGTGGATCACAATAAACTGTGGAAAATTCTGAAAGAGTTCGGAATACCAGACCACCTGACCTGCCTCTTGAGAAACCTGTATGCAGGTCAAGAAGCAACAGTTAGAACTGGACATGGAACAACAGATTGGTTCCAAATAGGAAAAGGAGTACATCAAGGCTGTATATTGTCACCCTGCTTATTTACCTTACATGCAGAGTACATTATGAGAAACGCTGGGCTGGATGAAGCACAGGCTAGAATCAAGACTGCTGGGAGAAATATCAATAACCTCAGATATGCAGATGACACCACCCTTATGGCAGAAAGTGAAGAGGAACTAAAACGCCTCTTGATGAAAGTGAAAGAGGAGAATGAAAAAGTTGGCTTAAAGCTCAACATTCAGAAAACTAAGATCATGGCATCTAGTCCCATCACTTTATGTCAAATAGATGGGGAAACATTGGAAACAGTGGCTGACTTTATTTTGCGGGGCTCCAAAATCACTGCAGATGCTGACTGCAGCCATGAAATTAAAAGATGCTTGCTCCTTGGAAGGAAAACTATAATCAACCTAGACAGCATATTAAAAAGCAGAGACATTACTCTGCCAACAAAGCTCCATCTAGTCAAGCCTATGGTTTTTCCAGTAATCATGTATGGATGTGAGAGTTGGACTATATAAAAAGCTGAGCACCGAAGAATACATGCTTTTGAACTGTAGTGTTGGAGAAGACTCTCGAGAGTCCCTTGGACAGCAAGGAGATCCAACCAGTCCATCCTAAAGGAAATCAGTCCTGAATATTTATTAGATGTACTGATGATGAAGCTGAAACTCCAATACTTTGGCCACCTGATGCAAAGAACTGACTCCTTAGTAAAGACCCTGATGCTGGGAAAGATTGAAGGTGGGAGGAGAAGGGGATGGCAGAGAATGAGATGGTTGGGACAGGGAAGCCTGACATGCTGCGGTCCGTGGGTTGCAGAATCAGACACGACTGAAATGAACTGAACTGAACTGAACTGAAGATAACAGAGTGAGGAAGGAAAGTAATCTGAGAATTAGTGATTGAACATTATCAATAACTATGAGTAACACAGACCAAGCCAGACCAGATGTGCACATGTGTATTTAAGAAATGAAACAGATGACCTGGCATCTTAAAGAAAAAAACACACAAAAATTCTAAATGTGTTTAAAAAAAAAACCAACACACCACTTTAATTTAATTTTCTCTGGAAATCTGAAAGACAAGTATGTCTACTCAAAATAAAAAAGTTTATGAATTACAAAGATTCCAGAGTCTTTATGAGAGGAAGTATAAACGGAACACTTCATATACAATGACATCAATCATGTTTAATTTCTTGAATTTCTTTTTCCTGTGTGAATCCCTTGTTCAAAGATCATCTAAGATGCTGAAATGAAAAGCTTGAACACTGGAATCTATATTTAATTAAAATTATACGATTATGCATCATTCAAACAATTTTAAAATTGCTTGATGCATAAATTTTCTAGCTAGTTTTATGCTGTCTAATGAATTAGTATTTCAGCATGTATAAAAGAGATGTTTAGAAAAATACATTTCATGTAGCTCAGAATAAACTCATCTACTTACATGCAAGAAAACACTTTTACTTGAGCAAATCATGAAGATGTAAGTTCTACACTGGCTTATCTTATTTATCAAATTACCACAGACCACGTGATTCAGTGAAGGACTGAACCATAGCCAGCAGGTATACTCTGGCACAGCCCAATGACTGATGTCCATTCCAACTGGTTTGTGCCCATAATGACTATGCAGAATATCATCACAGAATTAAAACATATCTCCCATGAGATGTGTTAAAATATACAGTAAAATTTTTTTTGGTACAATTTAATAAGCTTTAGGAAGGGCGAGGTTTGAGTGATTTCTACAAGAATTAAATAAAATAGAACTGAACTGAGGTGAATGAAAACTGGAAAACTACATAGTAAATAAAGCACTAAAATCACTCGACAACTTTTCTTCACAAAATTCTTCACAATCTAAATTCTTACGATTCAGGCTGAAAATTTTGAAGTGAAAGGTTCATTTTTATGAAGAGGAAAGTTAAAAATGTTTTTTCCTAGGGTCTTTTTCTTTCCTTCTTCTTTAAGTAGCTAAATTGAGACCATTTTTCTTAAAATGTATTTCAGTGTCTTTTTACAATGCCTGCCT